GGCCTGCAGAGAAGCCATCCATTTGGGCACTGACGTTTGCCCTGCTATTGGCACAGACTCCAGGCATCCGGAAGGTTCCATGGGCATCAGTGATGGCCACAGTGCCAGACCAGTCTCTCAGGGAGACCCTGGCTCCTGGCAGCGGACGCCCAGATGGGGTGACCACCGAACCCAGAAGGATGTGGTCGGGGCACTTGCAGGTCTTGGAGCTGCACCCTGGGGGACACATGGAGGCAGAGGGACAGGGGAGCCTCTTCACTCCCTCCTGGGGAGGGCTTTCCACTCAGTCCCTCAGCAGAGATGCCTAGACATTCCCCTTGCGCCCCTCAGAGGCCTCAGCATGCCCCTGCTTGGAACAGCCCCTAGGATGAGTGGGGATACGGGGTTGAGGAGTCAGAACTGGGGCAGAGGGCAGGACCTGTGGTCCAGAGGGATGGGGAAATGCCCTGGAGGGGGGAGCAGGAGAGGTGACTCTCACAGGACAGAGAGAGAAACTGAACAGCAGGGGCTGGGGGCCCAGCTAGGGGTTGGGGCTTGGGCTCAGAACATCTCCCTCCTCTTCCAATCCTGTGGTTTCTCCATAAAATGGAAATTTCCGCTGGAAACTTCAGGGCAGAGGCGTCAGGAGGGCAGAGCCAGGCGGGGTAGGGTGGGGACCCCACTACCCCATTGGCCACCGTGCTCCCCCACCCTTCCATGGGCTCTGCGGGCGCAGCCTCCAGACCGTGTTTGTGGAGCCCAGGCGGATCGGAATTTCCAGTCGCCTCCTGGCTGGCCTGGTGTCTGGCCCTGGGAGGGCTTGGGCATGGTGTCTGCCAGGGTGTGAACGTGTGTCCGCGTGGGCGTGGGGGACGGGCTGTGGCTGTGAATGCCACGCGAGTGCACCCCGAGTGCATGAGCCAACTTCTGTGCATGTCCATGTCCATCAGAACATACACACAGTCCGAGGTGCAACCAAGGTAATGCCCATTTGGAATCTGTACACGCCTGGACACGACCTTCAAGGCGTCCACCCATCCGGATGTACACATTCACCAATGCTCCTCGGGGGGCCCGAAGGGAAAGAAGGGCCAGGCTCCATGTGGTTCAAGTTCTGGCCCTCCAGGACCCGCCTCTTCCCTTCAAGCCCCCCCCCCCCCATCAGGCTCGGTCCCAGCCAGCCTCTCCCCTCTAGGTACCCTTCTGAACAGGCCTCCTCCCTCCACACCCAGGCCCCGCCTCTAAATAAACACTTTCCTCCAGGCCCCATCCCTCCTACCTGGACAGGTAGGGCGGACACACTTCTGCGCCTCCAGGGGACGCCCCGGACACGCATCTCCAGTCGGACTGGGGCAGCGGCGGCGGCGCAAGCGACGGCCTGGCCCGCAGCTCCCTGAACAAGGACCCCACGGGCCCCATGCGCCCCACGTGGCCTCTGCGGTGGTAAGAGCAGAGGCGTGGGGGGAAGGTGAGGCGGCCGCCCACCGCAGGGACTTCGCCTCCTGGGAAATCTGGTGTAACAGCCTGGGACTGGAGGACGCCCCTCGCTAAGTTCATCCTAGGGTGGGTATCCCAGAGAGAGGCCCTGCCCACTGCCCCCATCTGTCGCCCCCCAGGCACCTGTCGAAGGTACAGTTGAGGTACCGCCCCATTTCCCCCCCAGATAAGCTCCGGGAGGTGAGCCCTGCTGTTCTCCCAGCGTCCCTCACGTATTTGGGGTCAAAACACGCCCCCAGAGGACAGAGCTGTGACAGATGAGCAAGTGAGGGCAGCGGGAGGGAGAAGAACTCCCGAGGGCTCCTTCCGGTTCCCCACCTGGGTCACTGGGGCCAGCCTCCCTCCCAAAGCGCCGCCCCTCTGATCCCGCCGGCTCCCTGGCCCCGCGACCGGACCCCGCCTCCTTCCAGCCACGCCCCCACCCGCACGGCCCCGACCCCGCCTCCAGCACCGCCCAGTCGGGCTCCACCCGCCTCTGACCCCCTCGCCGGCCCCGCCCCCCGCAGGCCCCGCCCCGGGCCCCGCCCTCACCGAGCGGGCAGCGGAAGCGCACATGGTAGTTGGAGCAGCGGCGGCCGCGGGGCTGCTCGCGGTTGAGGCACCAGAAGCCTCGCGTGGGGTTCAGGTGCACGCGCTCGCCGACAGTGGACGGCAGGGCCCAGTCCGTGGTGCGCGCCTCGAGCGCCAGCGGCCGTGGGCACACGCGCGCTGGTCCGTAATAGAAGCGGATGGCAGCCAGGCTCTCGAAGTCGCCATCGCCGCCGGGGTGGTCCACGTTGAACCAGGACGTCCACTCGCTGGCCTCTGCGGGCACCGCACGCGCTGGGACCCGGGCCGCAGCCTGTCGGGCCCCATCAGTGCATGCAGGGGCCTTACCCCCACCTCCCAGGTAAGGCCATACCCTGCTGTCTAAAACGGTCACCCCACCCCCAATGAGCCCGGGCTAACCCAGCCCGCCCACCCGTGACCCCGCCCGGAGCCAGGTTTCCTCCACGCCAGAAGGAGCTCCAAGGTATCACGGGAGGTTGGCCTCCGCTCGCACCGGCCCCACTTCTGCTGCCCAATCCTTGAGCTTGCGCATCGGTGCAGGCTGACATTCTGCCACGCTGACATCGTGTCACTGCCTCACCAGTCCCCAACCTTAGAATGAAGCCTGCCCCCCACCTCTGAATTCAGAACCCCTGAGGTGTGAGGAGATGACAAAGGCAGCAGGAGGAGTCAGGCCTGACACCAGCCCTAACTGTGGCTTTCCCTCGCCTGGCCGCGCCAGGTTAGAGCCATTGGGGCTCTTGCTCACTGCCTGGCTAAAGCCACCAGGCAACCTCTGTTTCACAGAAGCCACAGGTAGGAAGGATCTGACCTCCCAGAGGTCAGATTCTGCTTCCAGCAATTTCCCCCTAGTAGGGGGTGCTCACTCCTTTCCTGACTCCAGAGTAACTTTTCCCAGCTAGGAAACTAGAGACCCAGTTTCTAGAACTAGAGATCTGGAATCTACTGGAAGCACCCTGCATGATGCTTCCAGTAGGGGGCAGGAAGCACCCACCCCCACCCTACACATTGGTTTCCCCCTTGACAAATAGCCTGAACTCTCACCCCTCTGCTCCTAAAATTTAGACCTCGTGGGACACCTATACCAGGGGCCACCATGTCTGGGGACCAGGATGGTATTGGGCTCTTCTACCGCCTTCTATCCCCTCCTCACATGACCTCACCAGCCAGAGCTCACACAGTGAGTCCACAGCAGAGCCAGGACTTGGACCCAGGATGACTCACCTTCCCAGTCCTCCAGGGCTGGTGAGGGCTGTCCAGGGCTCAGAGATGGACCTTCAAGGCCCCAGGCAGTTGCTGTGGGCTCCTCAGGGGGGGTGGTGGCTGTGGAAGGGGTGAGGAGTGGGGGATGGAGGAGGCATGCTGATGGGGACCTCTGTGAGCTGCTTCTATGCAAGGTGCTGTCATGAATATCCCCATTTCACGGGAGAGAAAAGTGAGGCTCTGAGAAGCCAGAATCTAGCTCTGGCTGACCCCAAGGAATGCAGGACCCCACCCCCCCAGCCCCGCTTCCAGGAAGCCTCCCTGTGACCCCTGCAGCCCATCCCTCCCTCTGCCCTGGCCCAGATGCCATGAGGTGGGGAAGTCTCTGTGTCTGCTCTCCTCCCCAGGCCCAGGTCTCCTCGAGTGTGCTCAGTGGCCATGAGCTCAGTTGGCTGTGCCTCTGCCCTCACGGTGAGCTGCCTTCTCCTTCATCCATTTGCCGGCTCAAAGTCCCTCCCTCAGTGTACCTTCCATCCCTTCACTTAGGGCCCAAGCTGCCACTGGGGAAGTCCTTGGAATCAAGCCTGGCTTCTCTGACCTTGAGTTATCTCAGATAGCCAGGCTAGACAGGGACATCGGACAAGTCCCTTCGCTGTCTGTATCTCAGTCTCCTCATCTGAGAAATGGATCCACTGCCCTGTCCTCTGAGCATTCCAGAGATGGGAATGTTTCTGAATGGTGTGTATGTGTGTGTGCAAGAGGAGAGGAGTTATGTGAGAGGGGACAGCTCTGACCCCTTAATCCTGGGCCAGGACTGGGTGCTTCAGAGGCCAAATGCTAGGGGTGAGGCAGGTCCCCCGCGGCCCCGGGCACCTAGAGGAGCCTAAAGTTCATATCCATACTCCCAGTGCCCCTACCTCTCTTTGAGGAGAGTGAACAGACGCGCTTCCTCCCCTCCCCCCGTCGTTGGTCCCAAGGACCCATCTCCCCGACGGCCCCTCACCCCACTCCCGGGTTGACCAAGGGGGACCCAGGCCTGCGGAAGCGAGCCCTCCCCGGGGGCAGCTGCAAGCCAGGCGGGCTGCCGGGGCGCCTAGGGGTCTGGGCTGGGGTCAGGGGGCGCCTCACCTCGAGCCCCCGCCAGGTGCGCGGCGGCGACTAAGAGGCAGAGTAGTGGCGGCGCTGACGCCATGGCCGGGTCGAGCGTCCGAGGGAGGGTGCGGGCTCCGCGGCGCGCTCGGATCTGACTCCCGCGGGTCTGGCGGCCGCTGGGGCTGAGGGCGGCGGCGGGAGGTGACCGCAGGCCCCGCCCCGTCCAGGCCCCGCCCCGCCCCGCCGAGCCCAGCGCCCCGGCCGCGGGCGACTCCGGTGCGCCGAGCCACCTCTCCGGGTCGCCCGCTCGGTGCGTGGGGCTGCGCCTCCGCCCTCAGGTCGGCCCCTGGGCCAGCCGAAGGCCCTCCCTCTACCCACGCTCCAGTCTGCACCCTGGGCCCCAGGCTGCCTGCGGGACGTGCCTCTTGGAGTCGGCCTGAGGCTGCCCCAACACACCCGCGCTGCGGGCGGCCCTCTAGGCGAGAGAAACCCTCCGTCGAGTCTACCCTCAGTCTTGGCAGGCTGGAAGTCCCACCCTGAATCTAGCCTCTGCTCTGGGCCACCCTCCATCCCTGGCCTGGCTCTGCGGGGCGGGGGAGGGCCCTCCCCGTCCCCCCCCCCCCCCGGGCGGCGGAGCTGGCACAGAGAGGAGGCGAGGAGGCGGTGGGACGTCTGTTTATTGGCGCGGGCCCAGGCGGCCGGGACGCGGGGGGGGGGGCGGTCACAGCGCCGCGACGCAGTCGGTGCCCGAGTATCCCGGCAGGCGCAGAGCGAACTTTCGGCGCACGTCGTCGGGCACGAACCTGCCGGCCACGAAGTGGTGGCGGCCGGAGAAGCGGCCGGCGCAGCGCTTGGGCGCGGCGAGCGACACCAGCACGTCGGGCCGGAGCCCGTCCTCGCTGTCCCCGCCGCCGGTCTCCGCGTCCCAGCCTGCGGGAGGAGGGGCGGGAGGGGGAGGGAATCGGGAGCTGGGAGGGGTGCTTGCCTTTAGACGGGAGAGACTGGCCTCCTCACCAGCCACTTGCCCTTCCCAAACAGACCCAGCTCTGCTCCCGGACACGTGAGTCCTGGTCAGACCTGCCCCCCCCCCCCCCCCCCCCCCGCCACCCCGTAGAACTGGGCCTCCTCCCTCAGACCAGTGTCTCCCCTTCCTTGGAGATGCTTCCTTTCTCCTCTGACCAGAGCGTCTGCCCTCATACGTTTCTGTCCCTGCTCCCATCATGCTACTAATTTTTCTCCCCCATCTGCCTCAGCCTCTGCCTTCAGACTGGATCATTTCCACTTGCTGCCCTTTCCCAGGCAGACTCATGCCTCTGCATTCTGCATCTGTCCCCATTCCTCCCTCCCTATCAGTCTTGAGCTTTCCCACTTAGACTAGAGCCTCTTTGCACCCAAGCTTCCTAGCCAGCCTTCCCCCTCTGACCAGATCCCACTCTCCACTCAGAGGACAGATTTGCCTCCATCCTCAGGCAAGCCTCCTCCATAATATATGTCTCCTTATCCCCGGTTCTTGCCTCTGACAGAACGTGCCCCCCACCCACCCAACTTGAGTGTCCAGCTTCCTCCTTTTGACTAGAGACTCTTCCCTCTGACCTGACATCTCTGTCTTCACCCTCAGACTAGATCTTGCCTTTTGACTTGGCAGGACCCCACCCCCTCCCTCACGGCGCCCTAGCCTCTACCACCTCTCAAATGAGCCTCTACCTTCAGACTAGGGGCCTTGCCTTCTCTCTTGCTTCTGACCAGAGTCTGGAACCACTGACTAAAAGCCTCCTCCCTCTGACTTTAATCCTTCCTTCTATGACCCTAGTCTCCACCCTTGGACCAGACAGCCTGCCTCTTCATAGCTAACCCCCTGTTTGTTGCATCCTGCTGGGATGGCCCTGAGGTCTTGCAAGCTTGGGGCCATCCCCCTGAGTATGGCTACCCCCGTGGAGGGTCCGGCTGGCCAGCAGCTGTTTGTTCCGTCTGCCCGTCGCCTAATGGCTCCAACAGGCGTGGGGCGGCGGCCAGGACGGGCGAGGCCTTTGCCGAGTGAGCTCACGTCTGCCCAGGCAACTGGGCCAGGGTGGGCAGCGGGCATGCTGGGCTGGGTGTGTGTGGGGGATGGGACATGGGATCACCTGGGCGGCAGCTTTGGTCTTCCCTAGATGATGGATGGACATGGACATGACCCTCACCAAGAGTGCATGAGCCATCCACACTAGGGAAACCGAGGCTCAGAGATAGGCAGGGGCCACGAGAAGCTGGGGTGCAGAGGGCCCCCACCCATGCCCCCAACATGCCCCCCCTTGCCTGGCATGCCTGAGGGAATGTCCAGGCTCACAAGGGGGATGGACAGCAGCTTGAGTGTGGCCAGCGCACGCGTGCAGGGGCCCCCGATCTCTCCCGGCTGCACGCCAGGGCCCAGCACGGCATCCACCACCAGCCCGTAGGCATCGTTGATGAGCTGGACCTGAGAGGGCAGGCAGGGTTAGAGGGCAGCCTTTGGGCACCGCCCCCCTATCTGCCACCAAGCGCTGACCTCTGTGGGCAAATAGGACAGGAAGGGGATGTCCATCTTCTCACACTGGGTGGTCAGGTCCCGGTGCAGCAGATCCAGTGAGCGTGTAGGGTAGAAGATGGTCGGTTCGTACTCCTGGGGGTTGGGGGGGCAGTGCAGAAAGAAGTCAGCCCTGGGGCCCTTCCAGGCTTCCTACTGGGCCTTAGCCCCCAGACCTGGATCCCAGGCAGCAGACCCTGCGTGGGGCAAGCACTGGGCATATTCTATAACCTCGCCAGCCTCAGTGTCCCCCTGGTACACCATCAAGAGGAGGAAGCAATTTCTGCAAGAGCAGGATTGAGGGGTGATCTCAGAGGCCAAGCGGGGGGGCGGGGGTTCTTGCTACTCACAAACACCCGCAGGTGCCGGGCACAGACCAGCCCCACTGCCCCGTTCTGCTCCGGGCCACACACGACCAGCACTGTCCTCTGCTTCCGGGAGAGAGTAGGCAAGGGGAACACCTGGCAGGGGGCACAGCAAAGGCAAAGGCATGATGTTTGGAATCCCTCCTTGTTTGAGTGGGGAAGCTGAGGCCTGGAGGAGCAGAAGGGATGGGCATGGGCCTAGAGGCCACCGAACAGGAGGAGAGGCATTCTGGGCCCAGGGCATGGCCTCTGGGGGCCTCAGTTTCCTCCTTGGAGAGGCAGCATCCCTGTTTCAGGCTCGGCCAAGCTGGAGCAGGAAAACGTGCCTTCTGCCACCACCAGGCGCCCGCCCGGAGTGCGGTTTGTTTATTCTCGGCCTGAGTTGCAGACATTCTTCCACCTTTTTCCACCGCAGTGGCTGCCCCTCCCCCGCCCACGTTTCCAGGCCTCTGCCCCTCCCGGAGGCCCCAAAGCTGGGGGGGGGAGGTGGAGTGGGGGTTGTTTTCCAACCCAAGGTGCCCTGTCTCTCTCCATTGGTCTCTGTCGTCACCTGTCTCCATATCTCTGTCTCTCTGCCTACTTCCCAGACTCTGCATCTGTGGGCCCATGCATCAGTCTCTTTAACACGGGAGTTAAGAGCGCTGGTGTTCCAGCGGCTGCCCTGCCCTGACTCTCTGCGTGGCCTCAGCCCCCCTCTCCTCTGGCAGCTTCACTTGGCCTCTATCAAACAGGCATGACATTGACAGTGACAGTCACACGGCTGGACCTCTTGGAGACAGGGCGCCCCAGGGGGCCTGGCTAGGCCCTAACCTCCTAGTACACAGAGGGCTAGGTATTCCTTTTTTGTCTCCTCCCCAAGGTCTCAGTGAGGTCCTGACCCACCCCGAGGGTGCCGGTGACCCCACCATGCTGGGCACGGAGCCCGAGACCGAGGGAGGGCAACAATGTCTAGGCTGGCTGGGACAGACTTGGGGCTTTCAGGGCAAAACCAAGCGATGTTGGGTCAGTGAGGGCCAGGCAAGAGTTGACTATGCTAGGTTTACTTTTGGGGCTTTGATTGTCATCATTTTCTTCTCTCCTTCAGGAGCTTCACTCAGCATATGTTTCATTTGGAAATAGGTAGGTTAAAAGAGAAATTGAGGCAACATAAAGAAATTGTGTTTAACAAAAGTCTGCAGTGGTGACAAGAGGAGGATAGAGAGGAAGAGAAGGGTTACGTGCTGGAGCCCTGACACCAGCGGGCACTTCTCTAAGGCATTTGTGTTTATTAACTGGTGTCAATTTATTGCTCTTGCTTTGGAAGAGGAAAGAGGCCCATGGTTTGACACGGTGGCCAGAGCACTGGATGGCAGCATCGTTGTGGCTTATTACTCTGGCGTCCCTAGCAAGCTCCTCGAGGCTGGGGCTTTGCCAGAGATCCAGACACAGCTCTGCTTACTACCCCCTGGGACCTACCTTGTGCAGGCCACTCCCCACTTCTGGACTGCCATTTCCCCACCTGCAGTGTGGGGTTGTTTGGAGGAACTCAGTCTGCAGGAACCAATGTCTCCCTTATTGAGATCCAGATCACAGAGGCGGGTGGTCACATCTGCACCTCAAGGACCCCAGGAGCATCCCCAGCAGCTTCAGTCTCTGCTCCCCACCTCCAAGTCTCTGGGGACTCCTATCTCTGCCCTGACCCTCACTGACCCCTGGGGTCTTGGGTCCCTGCCGGTCTAGACCAGTGGTGATCCTCTCTAGGCCTCAGTTTCCCCATCTGAGTGATGGGCTGGAGTAGCTCCACACAAAAAAGGGCTTCTTGAGTCCTAAACCATTCTGTTCCCCCCTCCCAGGGTCATGCAGCCAGACCTCGGCTCTGGTGGGCTCAAGGCAGGGGTCAGATACCTTGGTCACAGCTACAGCACTAGCATGGCCACACAACTCCACCAGCTGCTGCCGCCCAAAGCGATAATCCTCCAGCAACTCCCGCTCCAGGGCAGCCGCCTCCTCAGTGCTGGGGGACAGAGTGGGGAGAGACGCTCAAAGACACAGAGAGAGAAAGACTTAGAGAGAGGCTCGGATGGAACCAGTAATGTTCCACCAATGTTCCCAGGCAGGCCATAACACCACCCCCAACCTCAGTTTCCCCATTAGACATACATGTTGAATGGAGCAGTGGGAGGCTTAAGCTGAAGCCCAAGGCACGGGCGCCCTCTGGTGGTCGAGGAGCGCGTGGTGGCGCGTGTAGGTTCTATTGCCCCAAAGCGTGGGAGACTGGAGCCCCGTCCCGATGCGCCCACCCCCGCCGCTGAAAGAACCCAGAAGGAGGGGAAAAAAAAAAAAGAACCCAGAAGGAGGAATGCAGCGTGGAAGACTTTGATGGGGCTGATGGGCGAATTTCATGCAGTGGAAAACACTGAGCAAGCTCCAGAACACTGGAGGGGGAGCCAGTGGGGGAGGGGGTGCGGAAGCGGTGCCTGAGGGAGGTGGATTTTGAAGGCTGCGGAGGAGGAGTTTGATGGCTCACTTAGGGAGGTGGATGTAGGGCCCACAGCTATCAGATCTATTGGTGACCCTTCAGTAAGTGTTGTCAGAGAGGTGGGCCGGCTTAATCATTTGAGGTGAAGGTCTGCCATCAACTGAGCGACTAGGACCCGTCACATCTGAGTTTTGCTTCCTCTTTTGCAAAAGTAAAGGCAGGATAGTCTAGATAATTTTCAAGGCCCATTTCGAAATGCAGACATGGGGCCCATTACTTAAAAATTGAGAATTTTAGGAGAATGACAACCAAGTGTTGGACCCTTCTAGGAGCAGGGACCAAGCTAGCCCTGGCTTAGGGACCTTCCAACAGGCTTCCAGCAGGCATGCTTCCAATGGGCATGGATTTAGTGGCTGCAGAGATGGAGAGCTGGCATTGAAGATTGGAAATGTTCCTCACTCCAGAATCAGGGCTTGGGGCAGCTGGGCAGGGTTTATGGCCTGATGCCAGCTTCCCCTAGGCAGGGCTCTTTTCTGCTGGGGAAGAGCATCTACCCCCAGATCAGCAGACCCTAGAGAGTATAGTAGCAGTAGTAGTAGTGGTTAGTAATAGAACCAGGCCCAGAAGATTTAGAACATTGAACCACTCAGAGAAGGGAAGTGGCTTTCCCACGGTCATGCAGGAAGCAAGTAGGAAAACTGAGACTTTTACCCTCGGTGTCTGTCTCCAGAGCCATACAGGGTTTGAGCAAAGAAGCAGAGGCAGACCTACATCTAGCAGAGGTTTCTTGGGATGAATCTTTAGTCCTTCAATCCTGTGAGCAGGAGACCACAACCTTCCGGCCAATTTTGCAGCATGATCAGGCCGGGCGGCAAGAGGGGCATAGGTAAGGAATGAGGACTGCTGTGGGAGGGGGAATTAGGAAGGGCTTCCTGGCGGAGCTGGCCTGGAGCAATATGGGAGGTAATCCATGTGGAAGAACAGTGAGGGCCAAGATCCTGTAGTGGGAATGAGCTTGGCAGATTCAAGGGACAGAAGTGAGGCCAGTGTGGCTGGAGCCGAGCAAGGGAAACTGAGAAACTGGGTCAGAAAGACACTTTCAGGGCCCATGCACATGGGGAGATGGAGGCTTAGGGCAGGGAGGACACAGGCCCTGAGTCACCCCAGCAACCAAAGCCAGATTCAACCCCAGCTGACTTCAGATAAGGTTGAAGGGCCAGTTTGGGGGGAAGGAGCTCACAGTAGGGCAGATGAAGAGCACCCCCTGGGCAGGCTGGCCCAGCTCCCAGGAAAGAACATTGGAGAAGGTGCATTTGGGAATGTGGCTCATTCCTCCACCTTCATCTATGACAGCTCTGGCTGCTGCCCCCACAGGAGGGTGAGGGGAAGATGAGATGGGTGGCAGGACTACTCATTCCTCCTCTTCTTCCTCTGTCCCAAAGCTTTGGCCTCAGGCCACCACTTGGAACATTATCTTCCTGCCTAACTGGTCATTAGAGTGATAATGGAGAGGACCGCCCCGGCTAGGAGCCTGGGGGTGGGGACATTGGCAGCTCTAGGTGGAGCGGGAGTAGGAATTAGGACCCGTGGGGGAGGGGGACAGGGCAGGGCCATTGTGGGCTGAGGCCAGGGTGGGGGCTCAGTGATGAGGTGCCTCTTGCTTCTCCCACTGTCAGCTCCCAGAGGAGAGGAATTGCAAGGACCAGGACTCCCCCCTGCCCCCCAAGAGCACAAAGGCTGAGATGACCTGCTTTCAAAGGAACTGGGCCTGATCTCCCAGTGCTTCCAGGAGTGGGCTCTTTTGGAGGTGAAGCCCGTGGCCAGGTTGCTCACTCCAGACCCTCCCTGCACCCTTGGCTCCACCTGCTTCTCCACCTTCAGGCCTCTGCCCACCAGCCCACCACCTGCCTACAGCAGTCTCATGGCCCCCACACTGCTCAACACAAGAGCCATGGGGGCTTTGAAAACTTGAATGTCAGATCACATCACCACTTGTCTCAAACCTGCTTATGGCTCCCCAATATTCAGAGAATATTCAAATTCCTTACCACACCTACACGCCCACTGTTTCTAACCTCATTGTCTCCTTTCCCCTTGCTTGCAGTGTTCTACTCCTATCCACCCACAGTACTCCATCACTCCTCAGTTGGCATTTGAGATCCTGCACAGCTGGCCCCCCACCCCATTCCCCATGCCAGGTGAAATCACAGCTTCAGCTTCCTTCTGTCTAGGATGTGCTAGATCTATAGGCTCAATCTGGAGATCAGCCAATCGCTGGACAGTATCTGCCGAGGGCCTGAGTGGACGGTGGGCAGAAGACAGATGAGCTATCAGATGAATCTGGTTTACACTGAGGTCCACAGCCCTGTTTGGGGTCCCAGGTCACAAGGAGGGACACAAGATGCTAACTCAGGATGAGATGGGAAACACGGCCACAGCTGCCAGCTCCAGACCACAAATCCAATCAAACTATTGACAAGTGGGTCATATGTTCAAAAATCGCCCAAGCTTTGGCTCAGGCAGTCGTGTCCCTCCCTAGGCCTCAGTTTCCTTATCTGTTCAAGGAAACAGTAGTAGGTGGGCCACCAAGAGGGGTGTGAACGTTTGAGGAGCTAAGAGCTCAGCTCTTCCTGGATGGGGAATGAAAGATGGGAGCTCCAGGGTCCCTAGGGCAGATGGAAAGGGGAGGTGGGCCTGGATTGGGTTGAGGGGTGATGGGAAAGCTACTAGCAGTGCTGCTGAATGATTCACTTAGGGGCGGGCTGTGGCAGATGCAGTTTCCTGGCAACACAGTTTAGGAGGCGTTGGCAACAGCAGCTACAGGCTTCACCTCCAGGGAATGCAGAGCGGGCCTTGAAACCCCCAGACCCAACCTGGATATCCCCCTGCCTCTGATCTGTCCGCCCATGACACCCCCTCCCAGCCATGTCTTGCCCATGATGCCCCCGCCTCCAGGCCACATCCCTGCCGTGGGCTTTGGCATCCCCATCCCTGGCTGACCTGAGGAAACGCTGCTCCTCGGGCGTCTCCGCTGGGTCGGGGCGGGCCACACTGCTCATGGTCGCGGTGAGCCTGTGAGAGTTGCACGGGCTGCCACCGCCACGGCCTTTTAAGAGCATCCCAGGGCAGAGGGGCCTCCTCCCCTCCCGCCCACCCTGTGCATCCGCCAATCAGACAGCGCCGCGAAGGCGCTGCGCACGGCCATTGGCTGGCAGGTGCAGGCTGACTTAACCCTTCCGTGCCAGCGGTGGAACTGCCTTGGAAATGGAGGGAACCCAGTCTGGACAGGTAGCAACAGACCTGTTCCTCCTGTAATGGGGTCACAGCCTGTGAGCAAGGGGACCTGCCTCTGGCACCACTCCATTCCATGCTCGGATCTTCAGGTCCCCCACTCAGTGATGTGCACAGGGTGTGGGATTCCACAGGAACCCCAGCCTGGAGGGGTGGGCTGTTGACAAGGAGTTTCAACAAAGGTAGGAAAATCCAGGTGTATTTGTGAGCCAAGACTGATGGGTCCAGAAGCACTCTGGGTATGTTCTGAGGCCACTCCACCTGTCATCTTCTGTAGAGCCCTCAGGTCTAGACCCTATGTCCCCAGGCCACATGTAACCCAATGGTGCCCCATTCGCTGGTAGCTCAGACACAGGCAGACAGGTCTCCAGAATATTTATTTCCCAGTGGGGAGGATGCAGGGGTCCCAGTGGTCCGAGGGGTGCAGGCCCCTACGTGTACCACATGAAGCCATAGCTGGCGTTGAGAATCTCCTCATTCGTGCGCAGTCCATAGAGCTCACCCATCATGGGAGTCACCCATCGCGTTGTGTGGAACACAGATTCACCCACCTGTGGAGACAGCAGGATACAGGTGGGAGTACAGCTACCCCTTCAGGCCCATACAGCCTGCTGGGACCCCACTAGGCCTGGTGGCTACTGTGCCTACACCAAAAGCTGCTGCCTGCCCCTCTGTGCGCCTGGCCCCCACTACTCCTCTCAGCCACTGCTTTCCCATGGGGGGCTGTTTCTGCATTGGGCTGGACTCCCACTCTCACACTGACCCAGGACCCACCTTCCAATCAGGCACATCCTTCATGATGATGGCCTCTTCCTCTAGGTTCTCTCGAAGCATCTGCAGGACCCTGTGGAGATAGAATGGGAGGTGGGGGATAGGCCTGAGCATCCCAAGGGACCCCTGCCTAACAGACCTGCCAGACCCTTCCCTGTTCCACTCTCCATCACCTCCTGCCAGTTCCAACCCTGCACATGCTGACTGCTCTTGTCCTTTCCTCCCGCCTACACTTTTACTGTCCTCCTGCTGCAGCCTCAATGTCTCCTCCTCCAGGGAGCCTTCCCATTCTTGGGTCCCCACTTTAAGTCAAGTTTGGGGCTCTCTCCAGGGTGACAGCAACCTCATGTATGCAAGGACACAGCTGTCAGTCCTCATGTACATTTTGGCCAGGTTTTGCACTGCTGGGTGGGACACTCAGGCTTGTAAACTTCCTGGTCCCAGCAGCCTCACCTCCGGTCCTTCTCTGCCTGCAACAGTGGCATCAGCGCGATGCGGGCCTCGAAGTCCTCAATCTGCAAGCGCCTGTGAAACCCCAAAACCAATAGATCAGATCAGGCTGGAGTTGGGGGTGATGACCTGGCCTCAGACCCACAGGGTGTTGCATGGGAAAGGGGGTTGGTGGAGAGGCAAGTGAGCAGGGCAGGGCTTGGGCAGTAAGCTCTACTTGCCAGAAGATGGGGGCAGGGGGAGGGGCGCAAGCACAGCTGGCACAGGCACTGGTCCACAAGACTGTTGGCTTTATACTTTTTCTTTTCAATTAAGAACTTTATTTTTTAATCCCAAAAATAGCCCTGGCCCGCTGACTGTGGTGAACCGGGGACAGGGGATGGGACCTTCATCACAGGGCTCTGAGCCTTACAAAACCATATCTGCTTCATGTCAAAATAGCCCTGGGGTGTGAGCCCAGGGCAGGTAGTTCTGTGTCTTTGAGCCACCAGCCCCATCTATACTGGGGGAGCGGCACCCAGTGATGTGGTCCAGTAAGTGGCCCCTGGCACTGTCCCCTCATCCCTCCAGACCCACAGTAGCATCCATACTCTAAGCCTCTGTCCCCATCACAGCCACACAGTTGTCACTACTGTGTCCATACCTCTGTGGGTGGTCCCCGGAAGCTGGACCTTGTTTGAGTTCACTCAACATCAAGTACCTGACATGCTGGCTTTCTCCAGCACTATCCTCAGGGATTCCCGGGCTTGTGGGGGAAAGTGAGCTCAAAGGGTGTGCTAAGGACACATAACAGAGGGTGGGGCAGGACAGATGGGCTCAGCCAGTAAGGGGTCAATGAGAAGGGGTCACCTGGCAGGGCATCCAGCCAAGCTCAGAGGCAGCCAGAGTCTGAATGGAGGCCACCATCTGCCTTGGTCCCTCAGACCCCATGTGGCTGGCACAGCCATTGTCTTGCTTCTAAGCCCTTGTTCTCACTGTCTGGTTATCATTGACAAAAAAACCACTAAGAGAGCCATGTCCTGGGCCTGCCCCTCCACCTCCACCAGATGGGTTATTCTAATCCAGACCCATGGGTCCCTGGTGAAGAGCTCCTTGGTTACTAGTCCTTTCTTGAGAGTAAGGTTCAGAAATGGACTCAGTCCAGGCCCAAACTTCCTGAGCCTTGAGGGGTTGACAAATGGCCCAATGGACCCCAAGTCTACAGGTGCACTCCCAGCCTCACCAGCCTGGGGCCTACCTGCGTTCACGGTTCCACTTCATCATGCTCCAATATCCGAAGAGCAAGGTCCCAATGCCCACAGCAAACATGCTGTAGCCTGTGGGGAGAGGGGACACCAGCTCAGCGCACCTGCCCTTGGGACCGGACACCCCTATAGCTTCTTATGAATTATAATCTGCTTGCTGTCCAATTACACCAGAAATAACTGACTCAAATAAAGTCTTAGTGACTCCCTCCTAGAGATGGCCAGTACTATCTCTAGCACATTATTTTTTCAGATTATTTTTTTTGTCCCTGTGAAATATCCACCAGCCCCTTCCCTTGGACTTCCTCCTCCGAACTGCAGATCACTCTTTTTTTTTTAAGTATTTATTTATTCATGAGAGACACACAGAGAGAGGCAGAGACATAGGCAGAGGGAGAAGCAGGCTCCATGCAGGGAGCGTGATGCGGGACTTGATCTGGGGACTCCAGGATCATGTCCTGGGCTGAAGGCAGGCGCTAAACCACTGAGCCACTCAGGGGTCCCCTGCAGATTACTCTTTTATTCAGTTCACCTGCCCTGCAGGGAGGGCCACTAGGCTGCCTCAGCTTTTTTCTCTGACAAGTGAGGCAGCTGCAGCTGCCACACCTCTCCTCACCCAGGCTACAGTTTCTAGAAGGTAGAGTCTGGTCAGGGGGGACTGCAGGAGAACCCGAGGGTCTTGATGTTTCTGGCTGGGTGGCCCCAGCCCCACAATCTTCTAGAAGGTTGTTTGGTGACCAGTCAGCAAGTGCTTCCATGGGGAAGGATGGGGTCTACAGCTGGGTCCAACTCCATGGTGGCTCCTGGCTGCCTGGGCCACTTCTATGAGTGCTGCCCACAGGGGGCTGGATGGGGCTGCCAGAGGCAGGCAGTGCCCTGCAGGGCCCACCCAGCCACCCCTGGCTCCCTGGAGAGCTGCCTCCTGGCCCAGCAGGTCAAGCCCCCTACCAGGGCACCAGGGAACAGAGGCTGCCATGAATATTTACTGACACCAGCAGGCACCTGTGCTGTGATTCTGACTGACAGGCTGAGGGCCTGCTGCGGTCTCAGGGAGGCTGGCTCACCCCCTACCCCTAATCTTTTCAGCTGTGGTCTCTTCCCCAGATGGGCCTTCTGGTTACTGGAAAAAAAAAAAAACTGACAAGCTTGGCCAGGTCCAGCTCCAGTTAACACCCAGTAAATGACCAGCAAATGGTGGATGAGGTTACTCCCTAGGACCTGTTAGGGGAATAGGGGAGGTCCAGCCCCTGCTCATTTTCTGGCATTTCTGCTGGACCCAGTGATGCATGAGAAACTGGTTAGCTGGGCAGCCCCCGTGACGCAGTGGTGTGGCGCTGCCTACAGCCCGGGGTGTGATCTGGGGGACCCGGGATCGAGTCCCGCTTCGTGCTTCCGGCATGGAGCCTGCTTCTCCCTCTACCTGTGTCTCTGCCTCTCTCTCTCTCTCTCTGTATAAATAAATAAATCTTAAAAAAAAAAAAAAAAAAAAAACACTGCTTAGATTTTTCAGCCCTCAATTAAACCTGTTAAAAATATTTGCTCAGGGATCCCTGGGTGGCGCAGCGGTTTAGCGCCTGCCTTTGGCCCAGGGCGCGATCCTGGAGACCCGGGATCGAATCCCACGTCGGGCTCCCGGTGCATGGAGCCTGCTTCTCCCTCTGCCTATGTCTCTGCCTCTCTCTCTCTCTCTCTCTCTCTCTCTGTGACTATCATAAATAAATAAAAATTAAAAAAACAAAAAAAACAAAAAAAAAAAAACATTTGCTCAGTCAAATGTCTGCCTTTGGCTCAGGTCGTGATCCTGGGGTCCTGGGATAGAGTCCCGCATCGGGCTCTCCGCTCAGCATGGCGCCTGCTTCTCCCTCTCTCTCTGTGCTCATGCTCTCTCACCCTCTCTCTCAAATAAAACTTAAAGAAAAAAAAAAGCCATTAGCTCAGAGTAAGACACTTCCATGTTACAGGGGGCAGGACAGCGATGGTTCCTGTACACGGAGGCAGAACCTCTCCCAAGAGGCCCAAGTGCCGAGGACCAGCTCTCAGCACAACTAGAGTTCCTACACATGCCTGACCACCTGTGCTGGGCAGGAACATCTTAGAAGAGCTGCTTCTTTCTTTTCAGTAGCTATAGAGAAGCCCAGAGGCCTCTTCTTTTGACCCAGCCCCAGGGCATAGGCCTGAGCTATCTTCATGGAGACCCCTTGTCTTCACACCAGGCACCCATGTGTGAGCGCATGTGTAAGATAAATTCCAAGACCAAGGTGGCCTTTGCAAACTCTTCCTCCTGACAATGGTGAGGCTGAGACCCCAGACCCTCAGTGTGGGTC